CAAATGCTTTCTGAAAATCCAGATACACCAGATTTTCCCTTAGTGAAATCATGTTGGCTATCCAATAAAATTCTAAACTTTGTTAATTGACTTTGCAAAGCATCTTTTAACATACTTTCCAAAACTTTTCCCACAACTGATGTAAGATTAATGGGTCTATAGTTACTGGGACAATTTTTATCACCTCCTTTGAAGAGAGAAGTTACATTAACTAACTTAAAATCGTATGCTACCTGCCCACTATTGAAGGGCTGACAAAAAATAGTAGTAAGTGACTCACATATACAATCTTTAACCTCCTTCAAAACCCTTGGGAAAATATTATCTGACCCAAGAGCCTTATCATTTTTCATATTTCCCAATTTTTTTCTTAACAAGCTCAGAATTTGATCTCGTTTCCATTTATCAACTGTTCAAGATGTGGAATACTGCTAAAATCTTCATTAGTAAAAACTGAAGAAAAATCAGAATTTAATAACTCGGCAATCTCATAATCATCAGATACTAGCCTTCCTTTATCATTCCTCAAGTGTCCTACCCTATACTAACAATTTGTTTACCCTTAATGTATTTAAAGGACTCCTCACTGCAAATGTTTACATTTTCAGCCAAGCTTTTCTCCTACATCCTTTTTATGTCCTAATTTACTGTTTCACCAGCATTTTTGATCTTCTATAATCTTCTAAGTCTCAGTGTCATACCAGTCAATTTAAATTTCTTAAATTTATTTTGCTTTTCCTTAATATTATTTCTTAAACTCTTTGTGAACCAATCTGATTTTATAATTGCAGCTACCCTTTCCTTTCTATAAGAAAATATTGACCCTGAATATTTAAAAATTTTTCACATCTGATCAACGTCTCCAAATAACTCAGCTGCCCAATCCTTTTTGCATCCCTTCAAAATTTATTTTTAAAACTTGTAACCAACATATCATTATTCCTTATCTCCATATGCAGCAAAACATTGAACCTAATAGAGCAATGATCACCTGCACCCAGATGTTCTCCAATTTCCACCCTCTCATTTATATCTATATTTGAAATTAGCAATGAGTCTAAAATAGCATTGTTTCTAGTAAGTTTCTTGAATAATTGGTGAAGAAAGCCATCCTGGACAATTTCCAAAAATTTTTCTCCCTCATGGTGTGACTTTAGCATTTTCCAATCTGTATTCCTGAAGTTAAAATCACCCATAATTATGACTTCATTTACAGCTGAAATCATACCCTCTTTGTAAAGTTTCTCACTAGTTCCATCAGTATCATTTGGTGGTCTGTAACAAATTGCCACGGAAAGCCTTTTCCCTTTATATCCACTAATATCAACCCAAATGGATTTAGTCTCCTTGCTATTATCTTTGATATTCTTAACTTCAACAGGATGTAACTCACATTTTACATATAAAGCCACCCCCCCTCTTTAATACTCTATCCCTATTAAATAGCCTGTATCCCTGTAATTCAAAGAAATTTCTGTCATCAAAATTATCTACGGTTAAATATGTTTCAGTTATTCCCATGATATCAAAATCCTCCATTCTTACCATTGCTCTGAAGTCATCTGTTTTATTTCTTATACCTCTAGAATTACAATAGTAACAATTAAACCTATCATTATAACTACTTCTATATGAATTTCCTGTGCTAAACTTCACTCTGCCTCTTATTATTTTTACATTTAGTTTTTCTAGGCCCTCACCACTGTCTAGTCTTAATTTAAATCTTCTCTTACAGCTGAGTTAATAGTCTTAGCAAACAAGCCAACCCCTACCCTATTTTAATGTAAAACATCCATTCCAAAAACTCCCTTCTTCCACTGAAGTATGGGACAAAGAGGTAACATGACTGGATACTAATAATGGTTGGAGACGGCTTGAATGGGTAATGAAGAAAAACTTTAATATAAGTTTAACATAACAGCAAATGTACAACGTTTCGACAAGGTTTTGTCATCATCAGGTACAATTAATTGATTGGATACTGTTGCAAGAGTTAGAAGAGATATCTTGGCACCCCAGGATGTCGGTTTAGAGTAGGGTTGTTTTGTTCAATTAAGATGGATTCCTTGATTTTTCGTTTGTTTATGTTTGGTTCTTTGTTTAAAATTACTGTGTTTTTAATAGATATACTATGGTTTTTTGAGTTGCAATGGTGAAAAACATGGGACGGTTTTTATTGTGTTGTGTGAATCTGGTTTCCAATTTTTTTCCCCGTTTCTCTGATGTAGAATTCTGGGCAGTTATTGCACGTTATTTTGTAAATAACGTTGGTATTGTGTTATTCTAAATAATTTTTATTTAGTAATGATTTTAATTTAGGGTTTCTCATCATCGAATTAGACTAGAAGGAACTTGGCTGTTCAACACTACCTACCGCCAACCGTTGAGCTACTCTAGTCAAATAGTGGGCTAGCTTGTTTAGAAAAAACAAAAAAAATGTGAAGATTACAGAATGATAAGGCTTCTTGGCCAGTTAATATTTCACCAAAGTTTATTAAAGGAGGTTAAAGTTTGGATATGTGAGCCACTTGCTACTATTTTTTTGTCAGTCACTGAACAGTGGGCAGGTACCAGAGGATTAGAAATTAGCTAATGCAACTCCTCTTTTCAAGGGAGATAATAAATTTATCCAGTAATTATAGATCCATTAGTCTTGCATCAGTTATGAGAAAAGTTTTTCAAAAGTCTTTAAATAAAATTTACAATGTTGTCGTATAGTCAATATGGTTTCATTATGGCCAAATCTTACCTTACTAATCTTTTGACATTCTTTGAAGGGGTTACTGCTTATGGGGTTACTGCTTATGCAAGTAAGTATGGATTTGGTGTATATGGACTTTCAGAAAGCATCTTAAACAGTGTCACATAGAAGACTTGTAAAAAAAATCATCTCTATAGGTGTGGAGAAAAGAAGGCTCATTGAACAGAAATGTGGCTGGATGTAAAAAGCACAGTGTTGTTATAAATAGAGTTCAGCCAAGTTGGATTAATGTCATAAGTGAGGTATCTCAGGGCTCAATGTAAGGTTCTTTGCTCTTTTTTTATCAGTGTTATAAATGACAGAAAGATCAATAATAGTTTAAGTTTGCTGATGATACTAAGGTCTTGGGTGTAGCTAGCTGTAAGGAAGAGGATGCTGCTTTATAAAATTATTTAGATCATTCGGCGAGTTGAGTGAATAAATCGCAGATGGGTTTTAATTACAATAAATGACAAGTAATTCTTGTGGGTTATCATAATTTGAACCGAAATAAATTTTTATGGGAATAATCTTAACAATGTTATGGAAGAAAAACCATCCAAGCAGTGTGCTATTTCTAGTGGAAGGGCAAATTGGATTTGGGGTTTTATCTACAAAAATATTGAATACAAATCTAGAGAGATTATAATTTCGCTGCACATGTCACTGGTTAGGCCACATTTGAAGTACTGTGTCCAGTCTTCGGCTCTTTATCTTAGAAAGGACATTTAATTGCTGGAAAGAGTTTAGATGAGGACTACTAGGATGATACCTAGAATGGAAAGGTTGTCATACGAGGACACGTTAATATCTCTGAAATTATATTTTCTTGAAAAAGGTAAAATTAGAGGGAATCTTATTTTTTCATACTTAATGTTAAGAATGGTAGGACTAGAAGATACAAATATAAATTGTGCAAGGGTAGTAGTAAACTTCAGCTAAGACTGTTTTAGTTTTTTAACAAGATACTTCGTGTTTGAAATGAGTTGCCTTCAAAAGTGGTAGTAGTAGTAGTAAATTATATTTGAATGATAAGGAAAGGCTTTAAGTCGTTTTTTTTTTCAAAAACTGTTAAGCTTAGTGGATGGGACAGTTTGGATGTGCCAATCAGACCATTCTTGTCTTTAAATGTTATGTTAATGCAGGATTATAGCATACATACACTAAATTTCAAGTTTGAAAAGTTAGAAGATCTAGCAATCCAGTAAAAAGTATTATTACATTATAATATGTTAATAATTTGATGTAGACCTGGGCCAAAATATTAAATGTGAAAGTACTTTTACAAAATCCATTTTGTGTGGCTTTACCACCTGATTAATTGCTTTTATACTAGTTAATTTCACAGAAGTAAACAGAAATTGGTGTTTTTAAAAATGCATGTTACATGTACTTTCAGTGTCTAATTCAAATAAGAAGTTTTCAGTATGACATGCTCATAGTATAGAACTAGGTTTTGTTGTCTAACAAAGTTAATATTCTGTGCTAGAAACTGTAGTACCAACTAAGTAATAAACTATTATTTCTAAGAACCCATGAGTGGGAGTACAGGAGAACACTTCATAATATGTCAACCACACTATATCTTGTCATATTCAGTGCTGATAAGGTCACTTTTTCCCAATACCAGGACTCATCAGGTAAGCTGAGATATGACATAGTATGGGTCAAGGTGTTATTTATATCATCAATTAAATGAACAACTGTTATGATGTGAGCTAGATTAAAGCATATGAAATGCAATTATTATCATTTCAATTTAAGTCATTTAAAAAATGACATTTTTTGGGTTAAGGGTTAACAACATATTATCTATTATTATTATTGTACTTGAATTAACTTTACTATCGTTCACAAGAATTAATAAAAGTTAGAGTTTCAGTCACAATCACTCTTTCGTAATGAGTGAAAAGGTAAAAACTTACAAGTTCATGTATAAATGAAAAAACAAAAACATTTATTTATAGTTTATACTTTAAAATTAATGGTGTTCAATCATATTGTGCTAGAAGAAATTCATTTTTAAATTTAATAACAAGGATACACAATCAAATTTCACACGGTTTGTTTTAAACGTATTTTAATCCCTGAGCTTGCACAATCCCATGTTAAAACGCCACCTAACGTGCAATATTGGAAATTTTGCGCAAGTTTCCTATTCTTTGTACAATGCAAATACTGTATAGTTTCAGTCATCGAGCACTTTATATATTTGACATATATAAAAGATTTCAATAAAAATTAAAAAGTTCTCAGTTACCTCATCTAATTCATCCTTAGTTTCTACTGGAGTAAGATAAAACAGTGTTGATGAGTTATTTTTGTTAGTTTCCATCTTGTACCCTCGATTGTTCAAGCACACAACAATCACAAACCATCTTTTACACGGATAGCGCCATATTTGCGGATTAATATACGGTTAACACGTGGTAGGGTACTATATTTTGGCACGCCCTTTACACACACTGCTTTAGCTATGTATTTCTTGTTAAAAAGAATTATTTTACAGTAACTGCAAAATACTATAATTCCGCAGAGTGATTATTTTAAATGTAATTTATCATTTAAATTTAACGTGCGTAACCGGAAGTCGTAGGAAAATAAAATAATATTATCGCTTACAGGCTATTTGAAATTTAAAAGCGGACATAAATTGGTCTATTATGTAAATATATATATTGTATAAAACACATTACATGAGTATCAATATCATGTATTGCAACGAGTTACCATTATTACAACATTTAGAACTGAACATATGGTTTCACTTTTGGTATTTTATCAACACTGCTAATATATTACATCCGGTACAGACGAATAGTAAACGTAGAGCATATTTTGAAAGCTAATTTCAGTTGTTATGGGAAAAAACAATTAATAAAATTATGCCATTTTACCAGATTATTTAATTATAATATATATTGAGAGAAACAAAAAAGAAAGTTTGTGAAAATAGATTTTTAAGGTTTGAGCTGCAAGCATATATTTTGCTTTTTTATTGTGAATTTAATATATTAATAATAATATTATTATTAAAAATTTAAAGTTAAACTTAAAACTGTATATCTAACTCTATCTAAGCCTACAGGCTACAGTAACTAAGTCAGTGAGTGTATATCAAATATTTTATAGCGTTACTTAAGTTCAATTTTAAAATGTATTTCTTTTAGTATTGTTTGTCACTGTATTATTTTTTGACAACTGTGAATTGGCTGGGTTACTAAATTCTACTTTCAACTTTTAGTTTTACTAATGAAGATTTAACTCATTTAACTAATAAGTAATATTCCTCATCCTGAGCATGCTAGAGCCAATAGCTAGAGGAAAACGTGATTGATTAACAAGATGACCATATTAATTCTGAACTTGTTTAAAAAAGTTGGGAAGTTTAACGAATGACAAGGTTCCTGGCAAAGTATGACCATAAAATAATGTTTAAGTTATGGTGAAGGAGAAAGTCCCAACTCTCCATGTTAACGTTTTAGTAATTTAAGATGTAGAATTGCTTTCAAAGTTCTACTACTAGAGGAAAGACATTAATATGTTGGAAAAACACAAACAGTCTTCAAGAATAATGATTAACTTACTGAACTAAACTATGAATGAAGGATAACTGAAAGTTTAGAATTGTTTTCTCCAAAGCATTTAAGGATTGAAATGTAGAGGAGATTTGATTCATGGGTTAGCTATTATTAATTGTTTTGGACACTTTATCTATGAATGGTTTCTTTAAGTGGTGTAATGAATGTGTATGAAGTACAAATTTTAACATTTAGGGTGATAAGATTGAACTTTACAACTCTAGATGCTCACATTCACTTAAAAGAAAATTTTTTAGTTTTATAAGTTTGTGGAATGGTTTGCTTAATGCCATGGTGTGAATTTGTACTTTGAATTTGTGTTGGATAATTTATTTTGTCTATGTTCATAAGACTTAACAAGTTATAGGCACATTATAAAAATGATTTAATACATAAACTTTGTTTAAATAAAAATGTACTTTTATGCATATTGCTAGAAGCAAGTGGTAAAATAGCAGTGTCTCCAACTTGTCCTTTGAAAAGTTTTCTTAGTTGCTTTTTTTTAAGTTAATAAAAAATTTTTGTGATAATCTGATAAATTATCTCAATATTTTATCTGTTTCTAAGAAGGTTTTATTAGTTTTCTAGCTGATTATTGTTTTTTTAAGGTGAACTAATATAATAATTATGTGAAATTCTCTAAGTACCTAGCCTTATATTTTAAAATAACTATTGTAATAGTAACACTAATACTAGCATTTGATGTTTGTATGATAAGTCTGATAACCTTGAACTGTTGAATGAATAAAACTTGATTTAACAGATGTTGATAAAAATACATTATTATTTTTACGTATTACTGATTTGAGGGTAGTTGTAGAAGTAAGAAAATGGGTAATGAACAAGCTGGCAAGTTATAAAACTTGCAGTAACAGGTAACTCTTGTAATATTGGTTTTACCTGTTAACTTCAGTTGAGAATTCTTCGATTTTGCATGGATTAAATTTTAATTTTTCATGAATAGAGTTTATACAAATAATGAGAAGTTTATTCATTCCAAGAGTATGTAAACATTCAAACTGAATGGTAGTAATTTCTTCGTGCAATCAACTATAGGAAGAGATTCAAAAACAGTGCCCTATATGGACAATGATGGAACATTTGGTCCTTACACACCTACCCTTAAGAAAAGTAAAAATTTAAACGCACCATTTATTTTTGGACACTACTGATTTTACTATTAAATTTCTGTAAAGTTTTGACCGTCACCACTGATGCTAGCAACTCATTTCATTGCTAAATCATCTTATTAATAAAATAATTCTGTCTTAACTAGGACTTAGCCTGTGTTTCTTCCATATCTTAAACTTGTGTCTTCCCATCCTATTATCTTAAGAATACACATACAAATAAACAGAGATCTTTATTCTCTTGATCCCCTGGTTAGTCTTTTAAACTTGGCAAGACCAGCTATTACTAATGTGTTTGTGTCCACATAGATCTTAAATTAGAATAATTTAATTGTACTGTCATGATGATGAATGTTGAATCAGGCAGTGCCAAAAGCCAGACTAAATAAAACATTCAGATGGATGTGTGTTGAATCAGACAGTGCCAAAAGCCAGACTAAATAAAACATTCAGATGTTGAATCAGACAGTGTCAAAAGCCAGACTAAATAAAACATTTAGATGTTGAATCAGAAAGTGCCAAAAGCCAGACTAATTAAAACATTTAGATGTTGAATCAGAAAGTGCCAAAAGCCAGACTAATTAAAACATTTAGATGTTGAATCAGACAGTGCCAAAAGCCAGACTAATTAAAACATTTAGATGTTGAATCAGACAGTGCCAAAACCCAGACTAAATTAAAACATTTAGATGTTGAATCAGAAAGTGCCAAAAGCCAGACTAAATAAAACATTCAGTTGTATTATTGATTAGATAGGACTATTTAATTAATAACTGGATTGCTACCAATACTCAGACATGATTCTATAACCAATTCTCTGTACTTGTAACTATTTATTTTGACTTATAACTCCAGTCCATTACCTTGCACTTATGATTAAAGATCATTTGCCACATATTTGTCTAACTTACCAATTGATCCAAGTCATTCTGTGGTGCTTCGTTACAACTAGAAATAGGCAGGAGTTTCTCACATTGTTCGATATGTCTAACTTACCAATTGATCCAAGTCATTCTGTAGTGCTTCGTTACAACTAGAAATAGGCAGGAGTTTCTCACATTGTTCGATATGTCTAACTTACCAATTGATCCAAGTCATTCTGTGGTGCTTCGTTACAACTAGAAATAGGTAGGAGTTTCTCACATTGTTCGATAGGCAGGAACTTAGATCTGGATTATTCAGTTAGTGGAGTTTTATGGTACTGCCCATATGTTTACATTAATCATGTGGTAGTTGAGATTGAAACTTTCCTGGAATTGTTAATGTTACAACCTCAGTCAATATGGTTTACCATTTCTTAGATGTCTGAGAGCATTCACAAAGTACATTGTTCAGTTTTATGGAAATAGCTAAACACATTTATTGATATGGTTTACAAAAGAATCAGAACCTCAGAATCAGACTTCCTCATACCAACAACAGAATTTCTCTGATGACCTCCACACTCGATTGTGAAAGTGTTTGAATTCACGTGATGTGTGTAGCTAAGTCACATGCTTCAAACAGAAGAAATAAAATAAGGATTCATTGTCAAATAATCATGATGGAAGAACTATCACCATATAATCAAGTAGACTTTAAGGACTTTCAAATAGTTGATATTCTTCATGTATAAAAATGTTAAAAGAATTCAAGGTTTAATTATTTCTAGAAGCTTTGCACAGTGTAATTAATCCTTTCTCTGCCAGGAAATCCATTTTGGCAAATAACAAAAAATAGCAATATGTGAGACTTTAACAACTTGCTCTTATTTAAAAAATATTATGTAACTAACATTTTTAATATGACCTTCAAATGTTTGTTTAAACTGATAACATTAGATTTTTGTTTTTGAAATATAAAGGTTTATGATTGTATGAGAATAATGAGAGAAACATGTTTTAGATTTTAGATTTATACAGTGAAATTAACCAATATTTAACTAAGGTAACTTGTGTGTATATTTGTAGAAAACATAAAAAAATTGTAAAATTTACAGCAGTTTTCCTTGCTTTTAGGCCATGCACCATCCTGGAAAGGAGCCTCTCCCGTCTGTCTGTGTAATTAACCCTGATCCTCTCTTTCCAAGTTATTACAATATCTTGTAATTGTGATGAACTTTGACCAAGAAAGTGTTTTAAAAAATTAGCTTAGGATATTTAAAAGTCTTTATTTTAATATAGTGTGATTAGAATGTACTTAGAGTTTTAAAATCATGGGGTAAGTGTAGACTATTAAATATATAATAATAGTTACCTTGCAAGTACCGTACCTGATAGGAAGTGACAATAATCATACGGTTATCAGCTATAACTCACAAGTCTTATTTATTGTGGTATTTTCAGGTGGAACTGAATTCCTTTAGTGATAGCAGAATAACAGGAGATTCAATCACGATACTTATTTCAAAGTAATTTTGAGTAAATGATAAAGAAATTAAAAGACTGGATATGGTTGCACAAGGCTCCAATAAAAAAATCTTTATTTAAGACACAAGCACTGTTTATATTTATGCCTTTTACTGGAGATCTAGATACAGACTGTTTTTCTTTCAAGACCTATTCTGTTCCATATTTACTAAACCTCATATTACTTAGTAACGTCAGGCTTCCCTAGAGTGTCTTATGCTACCCATGTGACTTGTAGTTACAATCAGAAAGGAAGGGAGATAGTAACCTCGAGATTTCACACACAAGGTAAAGTTTTACATCTATTTTCCTACTGGCAGACCGTGTTATCTCTGGGGGATGACACAGAACAATAGGTAGCTAAAGTGAAATTAACTTAATGACTTTCTTGACAATGTAATATGTGTAAACTGCATATACATCCAAAACAATTATCTACTGTTTCATGGAATAGTAATACTGTGTTCTACTTTTTGTTGTGTATAAGGATTTGTGATCCAAATCATTCTGATTGGCCAGCTACAGAAATAATATGAGATTGGTTTTTATCATGAAGGAACAAAGATGTGCTGTAGGAGTCTGGACCTTGTTTTAACTTTTACCAGTATGCTGATCATGTAGTTTACCTTTTCCTTTTAGTCAAGCAGCTGCTTCATTTTAGTCTATTCTTAAGTAAAGTTTTACTTTTTGTTTAATTCACCAGTTTCATTTTTTGAATAGTTTATTCAATCCATAGAGCAATGAACCAAATGATCAGTAATTCTTTCATTTACTAATAAACTTTTTTTTTACTCTGACTTCACATCCTCTTTCTTTCTACTTACAACAAACCAAACCACCACACTTGTCCTTCTCTGTACTAAGTTCATTAATATATAGTTATTGCAAAGTTTGAGTAATAACTGTGTGCTACTTTATCCTTAGAATACCACAAATTTAATAACTGTGTGCTACTTTATCCTTAGAATACCACAAATTTAATAACTGTGTGCTACTTTATCCTTAGAATACCACAAATTTAAAATCTGTTGTCTACTTTCTCAGTTTATTTCTTTATCAGGCAACCTGACACTGCATAGCTTATATTTACATATTTGTAGACAGAAACTGAAATGTAATCTTCTGATTTGATATTACATTTCTTACGCACTCAATATGGCTTAATGGGAAAACGACTTTTTGAGAGACACTGTTATATGTGTAGCCTAATTTTCGTTCTGTTGTGATACATATTTCAAAAGAAGATCGTTGTTTATCTTTAAATACATAAGATAAAATCCAGTAGAAACAGCAATTTCAGGGAAAATATAGATTGGGAAATGGGAGTCAAACCATGAGAAAGAAAGGTTTCTGGAAACTGTTCAAGATGGCTTTCTTCACCAGTTAGTCAAGGAACCAACTAGAAACAATGTTATTTTAGATTTATTGTTAACTTCAAATACAGAAATGATTGATGGTGAAAATTGTGGAACATCTGGGTGCAAGCGATCATTGCTCTGTCAGGTTCAATGTTTTGCTGCATATGGAGATAAGGAATAATGATATTTTGTTAGAAATTTCAAAAAAGCAAATTTTGAAGGGATGCAACAAGAATTGTAAATTGGGCAGCTGAATTTCTTGGAGACACTGATCAGATGTGAAAATTTTTTAAATATTCAAGGTAAACATATTCCTTATAGAAAGAAATGGGTAGCTACAAGTAAAAAAACCAGTTTGACTCACAAAGTGTTCAAGAGATAAAATTACAAAAAAGCATC